ACGCACCGGGGCAACCGGCTCTTAAGGGCTCCAGCTATTCACACGCAACTAGAATTGAATTAGAATTTAACCCGTGCTTTGGGCGCGTCCTTTGATCCATAGAGTTTACGAAATCATTTGCCAAAAGGCGTTTCCAGCGAGGGTTCTTCTCTGGCATTCCAGAGTTGGGCAGAGGTTTGCAGTTGCTTCTTTTGAGATCAAAGAACTCATTAAACAGTCACCATCCATCAAAAAAGATAGAAGGCCTTGTATTTTCCCTGAATTCCGTGCGGTCAAAATGTCATGCTTATTGCTTTTGGACAGGGATTATGCCAGTCAGGCTTCAAACATCAAGAACTCGCCAACACAGCTTGGGCATTTGCAAAGTGCGGGTTGTTGCGGCCTCAGCTTGACAAAACGGTTGGGTTTGTTTCTTTGTTGGGCAGTGCCCAGTGCCCTTTTTCATTCTTCATTCTTTTCCGGTTCAGGTTACATCAACTCTCTGAGTGGTTACTGTGGTCACCAGGAGCCCCTAGTAGCGTCCTTGTTCTAATTCTCTTTATTCATTGATACTAATTCTCTAATTTCTTTTCCTCTATCCCTCATTGATGAGTGGTTACTATTTCCCTTTGACTTCTCTGCCCACGGAAAGCGGTCAATCCAATGATTGTGTCATCTAGGGAATCCACCTGGGAATGTTTTTTTCAATCTTTTTGTATAGGACTTGCTAGTAGGATGGAGGCCATCGCTACTGGTAACAAGAAGCCAGTAGGTTGGAGGCCACCAAACGTCTATAAAGATAGTCAAGGTGTAGTGTCAAGGTCATTCTACTTTCACCTACCCCGCCCCCCACCGAAAAACAAAAAAGCAACTAGGAGCAAGGACGCTACTAGGGGCTCCTGGCATTGCTACTAGGAGCAAGGATGCTAGCTACTAGGGGCATGTCATGTCAAGCAGCTTAAAAAGCCTGAGGTGGAATGACCAGCTCGCTCGAAGCCTTGCATCCCAATGCTTGGACCCTCTCAACTTGAACAGCGTTGCTTTATATTTTAACTTTTGGTGTTCTGTGCTTATCAATAGAGAGTAGACAAGAAGAGACTCAGGCAGGGGATGTAGATAGAGGTAGGTCTCCAGCTGGAAGAGGTAGCTATAGCTACTACTAGCAAGTCCGCAAGAGAAAACTTTGAGTCGAAACGCTTCCAATGGAATTAATGCACTTTCATGGGAACTAAGCAATTTAAGAATTGTCAGAATTGTGCCACGCAGGATCAAATGGAGGACTTCTCAACAGAAAGTTTGCTTTGGAACTCAGTACAACAGTCATTTGGAGTCCTTGTGCAATGCAAAATGTGGTGGCTACGCTCCAAACTTCTGCAACATCTAGCGCCTAAGTTTTTTGGCTCTTGCACTTGCTTTGGGTTGAAACAGCCTTCAAGCAGTTCTGCTTTGGTGGGACACGTGGCACATGGGATGTTCGTGATTTCTTTCTCTGTAAATATATTTTGCGTCTTGCGAGTCCCAGACCCCTCGCTGTAGCAAAAGGTTTGCTATTGATTATTTGGAATATCCGCACTGGTCATTGATTCTCGCGTTGACATTTTTCCACCTGCACTATACAGAACTGGTCACCCGGCACTGTTGTAGATTCTTCCAGTGCTTAAATTGATCTTGAAGTGGCAGGCAGCAGGAACGGAGAAACGCTCGGCACTACCGCTTGCGACCTAAGCATTGTCATAGGTAATTTAGATTATATAGGCAGTTAAGGTATTTGATGTCACTTAGCAAATGATAGAACTCTTCGTGGAGTGTCTATCGGAAGTAGGTCGTGTCCCTCTGAAGGCTTGTTCTAGATTCTTGACTGCTTGGACTCACCTCAGAGTGCTCTCGTGCTTTGAATATTTCACCGGCATAGACCCCAGGTAGCAACTTCTGTAAGTCTAAAAACAAAGTACCTGAGACCAAACATGACATAATTGAAGAAAACAGAGAAGTGGCGACTGTGTCGAAGCTGCAACATCTGCAGCGCCGGCTTTCAAAGGTGCAAGAAACCCTGGTTCAACGATTGTGGCTGTGGAAGCCATGTGAACAGTCTCGTAGGTTGGAGGCCATCACTCTTAGGTTGGAGGCCATTGGTACACAGGTGACTGGGTCACATCAGGTCAGCTCACCAAACGGTGGCCAGTGTAGATGTCATAAGGGTTCCCGCCCAGCTGCATGGGGACACTTTGAAAATGACGCAAAGCTGCGTAATCGAATGGCAAGAAGCTTTTGTGCTGAAATTGAAAGAAGCTAGTAGAAACAAGTGCATCGCTACTAGTAACAAGTGCCTTACTAGTAGTAACAAGAAGCTAGTAGAAACAATAAATTAGAAATTGAAAGAGGCCCGAGAAAATTGCTAACACGGCACATGATCCCAACGGACGGTGGCTGTTTCATGTCAAGACGGCTGCTGTGCCAAGATTCGCGTTTGCGCAAAGTTGGGGCGATTGGTTCAACATCACGAGACGCACATTTTAGTAGCGTCCTTGCTCCTAGTAACTAGTAGTAAGGCCAGGAGATACTAGTAGCGTCCTTGTTACTAGTAGCGATGCCAGGAGATAGTAGCTTCTTGCCACGGATTGTTGAACCTTTTGCGCTGCAGTTGTTACACGTATCTTGCATGTCGAACTTTGCGCATGTGCCGGTACTTTCTTGCGCCAGATGAGTGCGTAGCGTTGACAGTTGCTACCGCACGCCTTTTGTTAACCTGCGCCAAGTTTGGTGCTTGCTTTGGAGCCGTTCACTTGTGTCGCCAAATAGGCAAGCTGTCAACGTGACTGGTTGCGTGAATTCTCCTTGTTTCATCGCAAGATTGTCAGACACGTTCGCAAAAGAACAAGAACTTTGCCCTTTTTTGTGCCTTTTTGTTGATTGCACAAGTACTTTGCCCTATTTGTTAAGGGCTATTGAAATGTACCATTTATAATTTATAATGAACTTCAGGTCGAGCGTTGCCTGGGCCATGGCACAGTGGAGTACGCAGGAGGATTCAGAGATGCGGGAAACCACTGTGGACTCACACTGGTGTTTTGTTATTTGTTTTTTTGCGCCTGAGTGGTGCTTACGGTACAAGTAGCGGTCTGATTATTTGATACATCGGCCAAGAGCTGTGGTCTTGGGATCATCAGCTCCAGCACCAGCTTGTTTGCAGCGGGGGTGTTTTTCTATGATTCGAGCATTGTGTTTGCCCTTAGCCATGATCCCACACAGGAGGGCCTCCTACAAAAAATGGGGGACTCGCTTCTGAGGCAGGAGAATTGAATTGGACAGGTGAGAGGGCCTTTGAGATCAAGCTAGGTCATTATGAGATGCGTTCGTGTGCATCATTTGTTTGGATCAAGGAGATCAAATATGGACCGCAATTTGTTGCACAAGCATATTTCTTGTTGGGAGCAGACACAATTCAAAAGCATGTGAACGGCTGCCGCAGTAAGATGGAGACCTTTGAACCTGGACCGATGTCCACCATTGCTTGGGCATTCTCGATGCTTGGCTACCAATAGCGGTCCGGACAATGCAGTAGGACCAACATTCAGGATTTGATGGGGCATCAGTGTTTGTTGTCAAGCTGTGCTGCTGTTGATAGTTCGTGCTCGGATAGAGAGCACACGCATGACAACATGAATGCATCAGTATATATAATAGCTTATTGTTTCTACTAGCTTCTTGTTACTACTAGTAAGGCACTTGTTACTACTAGCGATGCACTTGTTCCTAGTAGCTTATTGTTCCATCATAGGGAACTGTTCAGTTCGTTTTGCTCGTCCACTTGAGGTGAAAGAAGACGAACACATATTTCTCATTTACGCAACACATACATTGCACTGCAAAGCATTCTACTTTCAGTCGTGATCATACAACTTCCGTTTTCTTCCTATCTCATTCATCTCCAACCTATTCTGCCCGATCACTCCAACTCACAGCCGCAAAAACCATTTACCGTCCACGCGTTGTGAGGCCCAAAAATGGAAATGTGCCTAGAAACTTCTGAGTCACAGCCCAATGCGAGGATCAGTGCCTGGGATAATGCTCGTTTGACACACAAACCAATCAACCTAAAGCAATTTCTTCCAAGACCATTACCAGATGCTCTTTATAGATTGCTCGTAGGTTGGAGGCCATCGCTCTTAGATGATTTCCAATCAATCGCACTCGTACTCAGACCCGGTGCTCACGGATCAAGCGCCTCCTCCATGTGTCCGGACATAATTGCTACTAGGGCACAGTGCACAGCGCCTTGCACAGACGTTCCTACTACGCTCTCCACACATCTCCACCAAGCCCAAAACTCGTCCCTTGTCATAAATTCAGCACTTGGAGATATTAATAGGAGCAAGGACGCTACTAGGGGCTCCTGGCTTTAAGCTAGTAGGAGCAAAGGGCATGGCTACTAGGAGCAAAGACGCTACTAGGGGCTCCTGGATCTGTCCGACCTCCTGCACCAAAAATTGATAGCCCATGCTAGCCCATCAAAACATGTCCAGAAAGGTATGGCGCCGGCCAGGAGCGACTTGTGTCATATTCACACCACTTCGCGGTCGAAGCCGCCTGCAGGGAGAGTGTGCATCTGTCTGTCTCGATCTGTCTGTCTCAGTCAGGTCTCCACAGGTGCAAGCACACAGGATGTTAATGATGCAGTTGCCCTCGTGTTGCTTAACCGACATCAACAATGTCTTGCTCCGAAGCCATGCAGACAAGCACACACACATGATGTCGTTTTTAAAAGACATCAAAAGCAGAGCATTCTAGACCAAAAAAGCCACCCCCCCAAAGCTAATGCTATCTAGCAATTTTAGTGTGAGTATGCGAGCCGACAAAACGCCTCAGCACCTTCGGTGCGGGCGGATTTCACCCGTGACTGTCGTTCCCCCTCGCTCACCTTGATCGCCAGTCCTTTACTTTTGTACTGACGATGGCCTCCACCCTACTAGCGATGGCCTCCAAGCAAAGAAAAGCACCTCATGGCTTCGCAAAAAGAGCTTTGTCAGCTTGCCCTGTCCGTTGCCAAGGACTCTGAACTTCAAGCATGTCGCCTCCCCAGAAGTTGCGGGAGGGGAGCCAAAGGGCGGCTATTGAACATGAGGAGAAGCTGACCAACGCCATTCTGGTCGAGTCTGGAACCGAGTTCGTGGTGAGGGGCGGCGTGACATGTCTATGTCTAAAGTTTTCTCGATGCCTTAGGTTGGGGGGCTGTTAAAATCTACAAACAGGTCCTTTGCGGAATGGCCAATGGCTTTCAAAGCAAACCTTTCCAGCTTGTACCGAGAAGGGTCAATCGTGCCCATACATGCCAAATGTCGCCTGTTAAAAAGCACAGGTGTTATTTTATTGTTTTGGCTAGCGCGCTGTTGAGTGCCGATTGCCATGAGAAGAGGGGGCGTTTTGAGCAGTTATAGCTGTAGCTGTTCTCCGCAATGGAACGATGGCAAACGAAAAAAGGAAAGAACGGGGTCAAGGTTGAGAAATTACCATGGAAAATCTGGAAAGAAGGAGAGACAAGTGTGGCAACTCCAGAAACATGATGGGGGGCGGACCATCCAGGTCCACGCGGAAGATCTCGAGTTTTTCGATCAAGGACATCAAGGGAGTGGGCTGCATGCAGCGTTTGCGCAAACAGCCGAAATGGGTTGGATATAACTGAACCAGATGGACAGTTTAATCAGTATGTTCAGCATGTGAGATCATGTGTAGCTGTTTGGAACAAACTGGCCAGGAGGTGGCTCACCTTGCATGGGCTTTCGCCAACCTGCGAGTGCCTGTGGCTGTCTCAGACACAACACCACAAAACAACCTAGTAGCGATGGCCTCCAAACTAAGAGGGACGTCCTCCAACCTAAGAGCGCTGGCCTCCAGCGAAGATAGCGACAGCCTCCAACATACCTGCTGGACCTGGTTGCTGTGATTTTTGGAGTTGTTGTCAGGGTTGTTTTCCTGATTTATTGCAGTGCACCTGCAATTTTGTTGTAGCAGACTTTGCAGGACACACAACTCTTTTCCAAAATCGCAGAGCATGTTGAAAGGACCACAGTTTCTCGGGTGACGGTGCAAAACAAACTTTCGGAAAACATAATGTGGCTCCTTGATGCACATATATATATATATATATAAATACATATATACATATTGTGTATACCATATATATATATATATTTAAAGCGGAACCTATTTGGCAGACGTGTCAAACAACTTCTTGATCAGGCCCAACGATCCCACTTTGAGTGTTGTTTGCAGGAGTGATGCAGCTATGCAACCAGCTGAGATTGCCAACATGGCTGGGCCCTTCACCTCCAGGGACATACAGTCAACATGAATCAAGAAGCTAGTAGAAACAAGTGCCTTACTAGTAGTAACAGGTGCCTTACTAGTAGTAACAAGTAACTAGTAGTAATTCCAATAGCTTCTTGTTACTACTAGTAAGGCATTTGTTACTAGAAGCGAT